CCTTAGTCAGATTGCAATTTTGCTATTGATTTTGGTTCATCTTTTATATACTTTGGATATTAACCTCTTATCAGATATGTAGTATGCAAATGTCTTCTCCTTAAATAGGATTAAATCTTAATTGTCCACTTAAATGAGTTAACAGGTTATTGAAAAGATGTTTGGATCATTGGTCTCACCACATTCATTGATGGATTAGCCTAGTGTTATTCACCATATCCATTGGTGAATTAAACTATTGATATTGTCAGCTGTATTTTTAGAAGGTGCGGTGAAGTTAGAGGAGATAGGCTGCTAGGCTTGTGTCTTTGGAGTATGTATCTCTTGTTGGTGCTCTTCCCCATGTTCTGTTAATTGGCTACTATGAAGTCAATAGCTTTGTTCTATTGTTCTCTTCCTCCATGATATTTCTGCTTTGAAGGCAACCAAGCATAAGTTGAAACCTCTGAAACTATGTGCAAAAATAGACCTCTCTTCTTTTAATTAGAGAGTGTCAGGTATTTGGTTCCAGCAATGGAAAAGCTGAGCAATACATAATATAAATATCAGAGGAGTGGGAGCATTGCTTTGGTATCCCTGACCATGTCATTCACAAGGCTTGGACATATTTTTCAAACATTTGTAGATGCACAGTAGATTGGACTTTGAATTTTGTAGGCACAGCCTGGCAGCAGATTCTTTGTTTTTTCTGATATTGGAGATGGAGTCCAGGTTTTTCACATTGAGCTTCATCTCCTGCCCTTTTAACATTTTTATTATGAGACATGATCTCACTAAGTTCCTGAGTTTCCCAGGCTGAACTTGGTCTTGTGATCCTTCTGTCTCAGACAGCCAGAGTGCCGGGATTACAGGTGTATGCCAACACACTTGGCCTGATAGATAATTCTGGTCAGATCCCAGAAGATTAAAATACGAAAGGAATGTGGACAGGAAAGGCCAGGCTCATGAAGTTTCAGATGAGAATGAAGACTTGTTTTAAAATTGAACAAGACACCATTTGTGTTACACTGTCAAAACTTTTGATGACATTTTGTCCATGTCCAAAAACTGTGTGAAGGCTGAGATTAAAGGAATTAGCCTAAATAATTTGCAGAGGAAATTTGAAGGCTGCCAGTGTTTAGGCTATGTCAGCTGCTTGCTGCTTACTAAGAAATTCAGGAGTTAAAAGCAGACAAAACATTTTGAAAAACTTAAATTTTCCTCCCCTGACGTAACTTAGGAGCAAGAAGAGGTGCAGTTGATGGAAAGTTTAGTATTGTTCAAAGAGGCCAAACACCTGAATGGCACCAGAAGAAAAATGCCTTCTTGGCATCTCAGGAATTAGAAAGGTCTAATTTATCATAGGTTCAAGGGTGCAGAAATGTAAATGAAAGAGAAATAATACAGGGTCTTGCCTTGCCCTTGCTTGTCTCCATGACCTTTCCCCCCAAAAATGTTTTATTCCAGAAATATAACAGTTTGTGCTGCACAGTGCTCAGGCCCAATGTATCAAAATGTTTGTAACTGTCTGAACTGCTTGACCTCTCTCAAGAATATATTGTTAGCTCCACCCCCTTACAGAAATGTTCTGTTAACTCTGCCATTCTGTTTCAGTGAGCATGCTCACCTACCCCTATACAAGGAGGCTTCCATTTCTGTTGAAGGGTCAGACTTTGGAGTACAAACTCCTCTTATCCTGCTGGCATAATAAAAGGCTTTTCTTCACCTCTTGGCATGACCTTTGGATTCTCGAGTCTTCAAATTGCAATAGCTCTGACCCAGGCCTTAAACTGTCAGCTGTAACACTCAGCTGTGCCTCAGAGCTGTGGCACATGGTTGTGACACTGAACTGTAACACTTGGCTATAGCTCTGAGCTCTTCCACTTTGCCACAACATAACCTTTTACATGTTTGATGAAATTCTGGGTTCCTTGCTTGAAAAGGACCTTGTAGGGAATTGGTCTCTTTGATTCATTTCATTATGCTCAGGTCCCACCACTCCAAACCCATATCTGCCATGTTTCAAGGGGGCCTGGCTACTGCTAGTAAGAGATCTTGGCATTGTCCACATGAGCCCACTTTTTTCAGAGTGCAGAATGTAAGAGGTGTTGGACCATGAAATCTTCCTTTCAGATTTGAAAGGGAGGTGTGAAAAGCCAGACAATGTACTCTTAGAGAGCAGTGTGTAAAGGTTTGGAAATGGAGACCTCTGGAAGTTGGACATGCCAGGAACACGGAAATCAGGAAAGCCTCAGGCAGAAAGCAGAGCAAACTCAAAGGAGAGACTGTGGGTTGCAACCAGGAAGGGCATTGAATTGGGCCACAAAACTCTCCAAAGTTCACATCTCACCACCATATGACCTGGATTCAAGGCATAGAACTGCATGACTTAATGTTTGCTCTACTTGTTTCTGGAATTTCTTTGGCCCAAATACGTTCTGTTTACCTGTCCCTACCATTTGGAATGGGAATTTGTTCTGTGCCATTGTATTGTGAGATTCTGTAATTTATTATTTGAATTTTACTGGGAATCACAGCTAAGAATTTATCTTGAGTCACATAAGAGACTTTGGACTTAGGCATCTCTCAACCCAATCAATTTCATAATCAAGATTAACCATCACACAAATTATACATCATTTTTCACCTGTGGTCTAATTTTTGGATTTGCAATATTCTTTTAAAATAGTTTATTATAAATCAGTTTCATGGAGCACAAGGAAAAAAGGAGTATGTATAGCCTTACAGGAAACAAGCAGAGAGCAGAGGAGGGCCAAGATGAGTCTAGGGTCTTGGCAGATGCATTCCCTGGGGGTAAGGGGAGGTTGTAAGGGAAACCAGAGAAGCCAGGGAGACTCTGAAAACAACAGCACAACAAACAGTTCTGTGGTAAGATGGCCCTGAGATATTGGACCCATGCTTCTGTGATGCTACTTCCATAACTCTGTGGGCAAGTTCAAAGGCCTCACATGGGGAAAAGTTCTGCATTCCTGGAGGTGGCATGTCCATAGGAGCCTCTCATCCAGGAAGGACCCCCATTGGAGGATCTTTTGGTGGCTGCATACCAGAAGGAAGGCCCAGCATACCTGAAGGGTGCCCATTGGCCCATAGGTGGAAGAGAACACCCATAACCAGATGGGTACTAGGTTGGGCCCCTGTAATTCTAGCTGTGGCATCAGCTGCAGCAGCTTCCACAGTGCCTCTTCTCTGTGGGGTCATGACCTGTTGGGATGCCCCACCCACCCCATGGACTGGCCAAGGAAATACTGCAAGATCCTGTGGTATGGAAACCCCAGCCAGGATGCCTCTATCACCAGCTCTAATGATTCCTGGGCCACAGAAGCTCCAGCAAGGGGTACTCAGGCACTGCCAGTACCTTTGGGAGGAGGTCCTTTTACTGTCACCAAGACCAGGTTAACCCCTCACAGCAGCACCAGAATGAGGACTGGTTTCTCCCTTTCTCCTTGTTTAGAGTCCTTTGTTTTGATCTTGCTGAAACTGTCACAGTCATACAGAAACAAATTCACATGCTTTTTGACAGCCTGGAAGTTACGAGTGAAGAGTCGGCCTTGCAGTGTGTACTTCATCCTGTAGTCAGTATGCTGGAGCATCTTGCTGTTCTGCCTACCATCCTGGTAGTGGTTCTTATGTCTTGGATTGGTGATAGACTCACCTTCTCAGGGCCCTAGATGGAGCCAGTAGTCTGTTTCCTGCTGCTGCTACTGGAAGTTCTGCTGCCAGTTAAATGGACCAGTCATTTATTGAAGTGTATCTGCCTGAGAACACAGGGATCAGTTGCCAGCAAGTTTCTCTTCCCTACTCACTTTTTTTCCACTTCACAATAAACAAGCATTTTCCTACTTTAAATATTAGTAAAGAGCACTGCTGTGCTTGCTTCAGCAGCATATATACTAAAGAGCATTGCAGTGTGGAAAAAACTCCTGTGGAAAAGACAGGAGACTAGGAAAAGGCATCATGTGTGGCAAACAGCACTGAAAGTTCAGAGGGCATAAGTGTAAGGTACTGTAGACAGCATGGCCTGGTCCCTCCAGAGATGAACATGCTGAGGCTCAGGACGCCTCCCTCTCATCCTTCCACATCCATCAACTGCAGCCACCACCTCCCTTTACTCCTCACCTCTTTGTTAATATCAGCTTTATTATTACCATACAAACATGAGAGAGATGTCATAGGAATGCATGATTAAGACATTTGATTTAAAAGTACAGAGATTCTTTCAGATGAAAAATATATTTGATAAGCTTGGTTCATTTGCAAATGAGGACTGGAGCTGCTCATACAGTAAGTTGGGATAAATTTTCCAAAACTCAATTTACCTATTATCCCAGTCCAGATTTTTATAAAAATGTATTAATGCAAGTGCATGCTGTGACATAGACATTGCTCTCTAATGACCATTTCTTCATCTTATCAAATAGCAAGCTAGTTTTAAAGAGTTGTTTATACTCCATGTAGAAGTGAGAATAGGTAATGTTTATATTTCTGTGTTTAGCTTATTTCACCTACTATAATGTGCTTCAATTCGATACATGTTATCACAAATGGAAGAATTTGTTTTTGTGGGCCCAAATAATATTCCTTTGTACACACATACTACATTTTATTTTCCCTTCATTCATCATTCGTACTTAGTTTTATTCCACACCTTGGCTATTGGGAATGGTGGGGGAATCACCAATAATGTGCAGGTAACTATAAATGAATGGATCATGCTGCCTACTGTGTCTATGGCATACAAAATGTGGGGCTGATTGAGAAAAAGCACAATTAGCCTATTGATGAATCCAGAGGACAACTTTCTTACCAAAATTTTTCTCAGGTTATTATAATAAATAAATTTTGGAGAAGGGAATTCTTTTCTTTGAAGTTATAGATACTTGCTTGGAATAGCAGATAGAATATACCAGTATTCATGGATGTGTGCATGTAGTTGCTCAAGATACAGGCAGAGATCTTCTGGGTTTACAAGACTTCACTTACAGGACTCTCTTCCATGTTATCTACACATCCTTGTTTCTCAGGGTGTAGATGAGTGGGTTGAGCACTGGGGTGATAATGCAGTAGAAGAAGGACACGAACTTGGCCTGTGTGCTCTTCGCTGGGGGGTGGAGGTACATGTAGATGCCTGGTCCAAAGTACATGGTGACCACCAGCAAGTGGGAACTGCAGGTGCTGAGTGCCTTGTGTCTTCCTTCAAGTGTAGATAGTTTCAGTATAGCCCTGGCAATAAAGATGTAGGAGATGGCCACCATCAGGGGAGCCACCATTCCAAATGGGATGGGTCCTAAAGCCAAGGCCAGCTCATTAGCTGAGGTGTCCCCACAGGCCAGCTTGATGAACACAGGCACCTCACAGAAGAAGTGCTCCAGGCTGTGGTGCCCACAGAGGGGGAGCTGGAGGATGAGTGTGGCATGGAGCAGAGAAATGGTCAGGCCACTGGACCAGGAGGGAGCTGCCATCTGTGCACAAACCCAGGGATACATGGTGACAGTGTACTGGAGGGGCTGGCAGATGGCTATATAACAATCAATGGTCATCATGGCCAGCAGGATGCATTCAGTGGCACCTGTCCAGGTATAAACATAGAATTGTGTGATGCAGCCCCAGGCAGCAATTGTGTGGTCTGTTCCCAAAAGGTTGACCAGCAGCTGGGGCACAGTGGTGCAGGTTACACTGAGGTCCAATAGAGAGAGGTTGTCCAGGAAGAAGTACATGGGCATCTGGAGTCTGGGGTCCAGCAGAGAGAGGAGGAGGATGGAGTTATTCCCCACCAGGGTGAGGGGGTAGGAGACCAGGACCACTGCAGAGAGGGGCCTCTCCAATCATGGAAACTCAGAGAAGCCCAGCAGGATAAAAGTGTTAGGAAAACTCGCATTTTCCATTTCCATGGCATTTGTTTTTACAAACAGATATATATGGCTGGAAGGAAAAAGATAAGGATGATGATGAAGATGAAGATGAACTTTGCTTTCCTATTTCTATAATCCTATGCCTAATTCTTATGTTCTTTCTTTTTGTTATTGGAATGATTCCCATGAGTATTAGGACATGTCCTCAAATATCACACTGCTGCTGTGTAATGATTACCTATCCCTTGACTTTGAAAGAGGGATGGAGCTTTCCTACAGAGTATGATTCTAGTGTGATCTCAGGAGGCTGATAGGCTCCTAGAATGCAGACACTAAAGTCTGTTTTGATGAGGTTTTAGGAAGAAAAGTGTATTGTCTTGGAAGTTGGTCCAGAGTCCTTTCATCTTACAGGTTGACAAAGCACTTGTCTGAATTTTCTCCATTCTCTGAGACATTGTGAAAGGCTGATTTTAAGGGTGACAGACTAATTATTCTGACACAGGAAATTTCATGGGGAACAGTACCCAGGCTACGGCATGAACACTGTACTTTAAAAGGGGACAAGAGAAAAGATGCTTTGTAGGCATCTTAGGAATCAGCATGACCCCAAGTACATAGAGTCAAATATGTATAGTATAAATCTTTCATTTGGGAAGAGAACCACTGAGTTCTGTCTTTGAGCAGATCTTCCTAGAGCATTTGTTCCCTCAGATTAATTTCTCCATGCTCAGCTTTCCTGGGTGCTGGGCTGCAGGTTTGGGGTTCAATACTTCCCCTGCTGGGTTTGGCTTCCTCCTTGCTATTTTTCTGCCCATTGTTTTTTGGAATGGGAATGTTTACCCTATACCTGTTATACAGTTGTATGTTGGAGGTATGGAACTTGCTTTTTTGCTTTCAAAGGAGCTCCCAGCCAAGGATTGCCTTGAGCCCCAGGGAAAACTCTGGACTTGGAATTTTTTTCACCTTTTTTTTTTAAGTCAGTTCGTACTGGTTATACTGACAAATGGGTTTCCTTTAGGCAAGTTTGTACATTTAATATTATACTCTGACTTGGAGTTGGAGCAGTGCTGGAACTGTTAAGTTCAGAGGACTCCTGGAGATGGAAAAATAGTGTTTTGCATAAAGATATGGACATGAGAATTTGGGAGCCTGAAGTCGTTTACCATGGCTTTGGGCCTAAAAAGAGTGCAGCTGGCTCATGTGTTCAGAGGTGGAGTTTCAGGGCAGTTTGATCATGAATGTTCTCACTTCATCAGTGGGTTAATCCAGAGGGTAGTCTGATGGCATCATTGAGAGTTTAAGGAGCCTGGGAGCCAGTGCCCAGCTGGAGATAATGGGCTGTGGAGAATGCCCTGGTGCTGTATCTCATCCCTGCCCTTCCTGTCTGGCTCTCTCTGCCATGTGCCACCATGAGGAACACAGCTGTCCTCTCCCTTGCCCTTCCACTCGATCCTCTGACCTCAGGCCCAATGGCAGTGGAACAGCTAACTGTGGACTGAAATCTTTGGCACTGGGAGCCACAGTAAATCTTCCTCTTTTCAGCTGATTTTCTCAGTTACTTGGTCCCAGGGTGATGGCTGTGGAATGCACCCACTCCCTGGCCAGTCTCATCTGCCATTCTCTCTGTCTTCCAATATGTTCAGTAGCCACACTGGTCTCACTCCCCAGAGAAACGTCATGCAGTGCTGTGCACCTGGCAGCTCTGCAGGAGTGTGCTGCCTCTTCTTGCTCCTCTTCCTGGCTGTCCACTTAGGGAAGGATGGGGTAGAGGCTGGGAGCACTAGTGCAGCTACATAATACTCTGGATGTTTTTTCAAAGGAAGAAATCATCATGTGGAGTTATTTTAGGCAGTGTCTCTTCCATTTTTCTTATCCTTTTTAAATGGTAAGACAGATGCATTATAAAATTCACTGTTTTATCCATATTTAAATCCAGCATTCAATGGTATTATGTAGACTTATATTGTTATCCAACATAACCTCCACTAATCCCTAGAATCTTTTCATCTATCAAACTCAGACTGGACCTTCTGAGTAATGTCTACCTACACTTCCATCCACACAGACCCTGGAAATCAAGAGACAACTTCTTGTCTCTACATATTTAACTACTCAAATATCTCAGAGAAATAGAACATGACATTATTTGTACTATTGAAGTTGACTTATGTCACTTTTACAATCTTTTCTGGATTCAACCATGTGGTAGCATGTCAGAATTTCCTGTTTTCAAAGGTAAAGCAATATCACATTGCATGTATATACCAAATTTTGTCTAGACATTCTTTTTCTTAAAAATTAATTATATTGGTACAATTTAAATATATGTAGCAGTCACATTCATCAAAGGGAATTTGTACCTGTACATGATATATCTTCATTCCTCATTTTCTCTGAGGCCACTGCCCTCCCTTCAACCCCTTCCCCTCTTTAATTACAGAAGTGCTGTTTCCACTTTTTTCTTTCTTTTTACATTTTTTCCTTTTCTCTTCTGTTTTCCTCCCTCTTTCACTTTTCCCTTTCCTTTTCAAAGGTTTCTTCTTATTTTATATTATCTCCCATGCATTTTGGGTCTTATTTATGCTTTCAATTTCTCACACAAGAGAGACAATGTGATATTTATATGAATATCTGATTTATTTCACATAAGATTGTAGTCTCAAGTTGCATCCATTTAGCTATAAATGTCTCCAGTTTATCTTTCTTTATGGCTGAGTATTACTCCATTGTAGAAAAAACTACATCTTTTTCTCTCCATGCATCAGTTGATGGCCACTTGGCTTGTTTTCAAGATATAGATATTATAACCTGTGTTCCTATAAACATAGGTGGATATATATGGTTGTGGTACAATGCATTTGATTCTTTCAGGAAGATACCCATCAGGGGAATGCCTGGGTCAAGTGGAACCTGTAATTTTAATTTTTTGGAGAATGTCCACACTGATTTCCACAGTGTATGCACAAGTCTGTACACCCACCAACAGTGAGAAGGGTTCCTTTCTCCCTACAGCCCCACCAGCATTTGTTGTTGGATGATTTCTTGATAAAAGCCATTCTGCCTGGAGTGAGATGTAATCTCAGGAGATGTAGTCTTTAATTTGCATCTCTGGGATGACCAGCATGTCAAACATTTATCACAGTAACTTCGTAGCATACTTTTAAGTCAGAAATTCTGATAAGCACTGCCTTACCTTTGTTGCCCAGAATTGTTTTTGATGTTCTAGGTTTCCTCTGGTTCCAAATGAATTTTAGGAATATTTTATCTAGTTCTGTGAGGTATGATCATTATATTTTGATTGGGATTGCATTAAATCTGTATAACAATTTTGGGAATACGGCCATTTTCACTATGTTGGTTTCTCCTACCGAAAAGCAGGGGATATCTTTCCATCTTCTGAAATCACCCTTGGTCTCCTTTTTCTGAGTACTGTAATCTTCAATGTATAGGTCAATTATTTCCTTTTTTAAGATTGATTCCTAAGTGTTTTATTTTTGGAGGATGCTATTCTGAAAGGTGTTGTTTCCTTAATTTCTTTCACAGTGAGGTTATTTGTGTACAGGAATACTACTGATTTTTGAGTGTTCACTTTGTATCTAGCTATGCTACTGATTTGGCTATTAAATCCAGAAGCTTTTCGGTAAACTTTTTGGGGTCTTTTATGGAGAGAATCATCTCATATGCAAATAATCATAATTTCACTGCTTCCTTTCCTATCTCAATTCTGTTTATTTCTTTTTCTTCTGTAATTGCTCTGGCTAATGTTTCCAGAACTATGTTGAATAGGAGTAGTGATAGTGGATGGCCCTGTATTGTTCTTGATTTTACAGTGAAAGCTTTCAATTTTTGACCATTTAGTATTTTGTTGGCTATTGGTTTTTCATAGATGACTATGGTCAGATTGTGGTAAAGGTAATCAATTTCAATTTTCTGTAGAGTTTTATCATAAATTGTTCTTGAACTTTGTTAAATGCTTTTTCTACATCTATTGAGATGATTATGTGATTTTTGTCCTTGGCTCTGTTGATATGATGTTTTGCATTTATTTATTTGTGTGTGTTGAATCATTCCTGCATCCCGGGAATGAATCCTACTTGGTCATGGTGTATGATCTTCTTGATAATTTGTTGCATTATGTTTCCAGTGTCTGATTGAGGATTTTTGTGTCTATGTTCATTAGGGAGATAGGCCTGTGGTTCTCTTTTTTGGCTGGATCCTTCTCTGGTTTTGGTATCAGGATAATATTTGCTCCCAGGAATGACCTTGGAAGTATTCCTCCCCTTTCAATTTCATTAACAAGTTTGAAGAGTAGTGACATTAGATCTTTTGTAAATTTCTGGTAGAATTCAGCCATGAATCTAATAGGATCTGGGCTTATCTTGTAGGTAATTTTAATTACATTTTCAATTTTGCTAACTGATATTCTTCATTTAGAATATTTATGACTTTTTGGTTCAGCTTTGGTAATTCATATGTATTTAGGAACCTCTCCATTTCTTCTGTGTTTTCCATCTTATTAGAGTAAAAGTTCTCAAAGTAGGTAGTGATGATCATCTGGATTTCCACAGAATCTATTGTGATTTCACCATTTTTCATTCCTAATTGCATGAATATGAGTTTTTTCTTTCCATGTTTTGATAATGTTGGATAAGTGTTATCAATTTTTCTTAATCTTTTGAAGAACCAACTCTTTGATTCATTGATTCTTTGAATTGTTTTCTTAGTCTCAATTGCATTAATTTCTGCTCTAATCTGTATAATTTCATGTGAGCTTTGTGGTTGACTTGTTCTTGTATTTTTAGAAGTCTGAGTTTCAACATTAGGTTGTTTATTTGAGGTTGCTCTGTTTTCCAGATGCGAGAGTTCACTGCTATAAATTTCCCTCTTAGGACTGCTTTCATTTTGTCCCATAAGTTGTGATATGTTGTGTTGGCATTATCATTTAATTGTAGATACTGTTTAATATCCTCTGTGACCTGTTGCTTGTTCAGGAGGGTGTTGTTTAATTTCCATGTGTTTATGGAATGTTAGTGGTTTCCTTTGCCATTGATTTCCATTTTCATTGCATTATGGTCAGGCTTACACATTCTCTGGTAGCTCATCTTGGATACTTCTGGCATTGGCTGTTGTGCATAATGTTCTCTGAGTATACTTGCACAAATTCCTCTTTGAGAATTTGATTTCCATTCTCGTGAGTGGACTAGATATTTTAATTAATTTGTTAATTAATGAATGTATTTTCTGGTAGCAGTACTACCATAATTTCCTACCAATGGTGCTAGAAACCTCCACGTTTTCCCAACCTCGCCATTACTTTCTCTGGTCTCCCAAAGCTTTGTCTTGGACTGGTTCATTGGGTCCCATTGGTCTTCGTATCTATCCACTGTGCTCCAATCCTTTTTCTCTCATTCTTCAGGCTTGACAGTTTCCATTGTTCTATTCTCAAGTTTGCTGTTCATTCTTTTTTTTCTAAGACTTCAATTTATTCAGCACAACCATTTATTTACACAATTGGGACTGTTGGTTTGATTTTTATCAATGAAACAAATACAAGCTGAACAGAGACAAACTGAACTGTGTACATCTGTGTCATCTGAGCTGACTGGTCATCTCCTTACCTGCATCAGTATCACCAAGAGCAGTGCCACATGGACATTGGCTAACAGCGCACCACACAGGTCAGTAAAATCCAGGAAATTTCCAGTACAATAACAAAAAGTCAGCAGAACCAGCATTGCGATGCATTACACAGAGTATAACTCCGAAGTCAGTGGAGCAGAAAAGTAAAAACCTTATCAGACCATCCATAGTTTCACAGTGATCTCTTTCTCAGACCACAGTACAGAATCCAAACAGATGAAAAATACATCACTTTCTTTAGAAGACAGCAATGACCTGATAAGGATTTGACTACGGAAGTTAAGGGGGGGATAAAAGGGATTGCAGAGCATAGCCCCTATTAGAACAAGCTAACTTACCAGATTTTCCAAATTTAAAATAAATAAATAAATAAAACAAAAGAAACATTTCAATGCGAAGCTACCATACAAAGTTCTTCCATTTTTCTTTGTAAAAAGGTCAGAGCTTGAAGTTTAATCCTGGGACTTTAATATGGACAATTTTGACCTGGACTTTCCCTTGCCCAGGATAATTTTTTGTTCTTTTTGCTTCTGTTGCCATTCTTGCTCTAGTTTCATCCTTTCCTCATGACTCATTCTTTGTTCTTAAACAATTCTCAACTGTGCTTTAGCCAGTTTCACTTGCGCTTCTGCAATTTTTAGGTTATTTTCTTCTAGTATTCGCTCTAGCTCCTCATGTTTTGCACGTTCTTCCTCCTCTCTAGCTTCTTGTGCTGTGAGCTCAGCTTGTCTCTGTCGCTGGAGTTCTTCCAGAAACTACTTTACCATGATGCTTTGGCTTCCTCTGTCCTTTGGAGAACTTCTCACTCAATTTCATCCTTCCTTTTCTCCAATTCTTCCTCTACCCTTTTTGCCACCAATTTTTCCACTTTTCGTGTTGTTTCTTCCTTGATTAGATTTTCTTCTGTTTCCTGCTGCCGAATCTTTCTTGTCCAGGCTACTGCACTTGCTAACCATGTGCCTGAAGACATCCATGCAGTCGGGCGGGGGCAAGGCACATTCCCAGGGACGCTGCTGCGGGGGTGGAGAGTGAGCGGGAGCGGGAGCTGGAGCAGCTGAACTTGTGCTTGTTGCTCTTGCTGTGGTTGGATCTTCGCATCCTTCTGCGACGCGCCTAGGACCGCCGGCCTCTGGACCCTGGCACGCACCCTTTGCGGCTGCCTGGAAGCGAGCTGGCTGACCTGCAGAGTTCCCGAGGTCCGTGTCTCATCGCAGCCCACAGGTTGCCTCCGAAGGGAGGGCTGCAACACAAGGAGTCCTGATTCATTCTTCTGTGTGCTCTGCTTTGGATTTCTAGAGGGAATCTTTCTGGCGGGCACTGTACTTTTCATTTGTGGACTTTCTGAATTTTGATGAATTTCTCTTTCTTGGCATTTCCAGTTTGTTCACACCTTCATACCCTCTTATCCATGGTGTGGCCTTCTACAGCTGCAAATACTTGGTGTCTACTGTGGTTCCATCATTTCAAATGGAATAGTCCAGAAATAACAATTCGTACATTTTAAATATCCCTGACTATGGTATTTTTAGCAGAACTTTATTTTTAAAAATGGGACTCAAGTTGTAGCTTCATTTTAAAAAGTGAATGCAAAATCAAAGTTTACAGTATACAATGATAAACTAATTACAGAAAAAGATTTAAATACAAGAACTCCCTTTCAAACATAAAGTTTCCCGGACCATGGTATAATTGTTCTATTGGAGTATGAATCATCTTCCCAGTGTCTTCCTGAGCCTGCTTGACTATTAACCAGTGTCATAGCCATGTGCCCCAGCAGCACACACACTGGACACTGGGTTTGGTGCCCCCTGCTGGTTGGTGCGGGGTGCACTACTCCTGAATGAGTGGATTCTCTACTTTGATTTCCTGACCTCCTTCTCTTCCTTCAATTCTCTGGACACCTTAAAGATCAGTGTTTGAAACTGTTGGTCTGGTAGATCTTCCAGCAGGTCTGGGTCAGGATTTCTTCCTGTTGGTTCCTTTAGTTTTCGTTTGCATAGGTCATATGCTCCTGTATCTTTATAGATCTTGTTAGTTTGGTGAAAAGTACACATTTAAATCTGAAATCGGGAACTGCATCTGTCCCCTTCCCTCGGTTTGCAGTTTGTCCCCTGTGTTTTTTTCTCTAGGTTGTAGATTTCTTGCTTTAGGGCTTCTGTGTCCTGGGCAACAGACAAGGTGTGAGCAGCCTCTCCCAGGTCTTCCCCAATCTCTGCCTCCTCGGGGCATGAGCCATGTGCCTTTTTTCTTTTAACAAGAAAACTGCACACTATGTGATGTTTTATTACATCTTATAATGTCCAAGCAGGGCAAGCATATCTACCTTCTCTCACATTTCTTATTTGTTGGTGGTGAAAACACATCAGTGTTCTACCTCCCAGAAATATACAGTACATACTGAAATCTGTAGTCACCCTGATGGACAGAGAAACTAGAACTTATTTCTTTGATCTAATTCTTTGTACCACGTCCTGGAGTTCACTTCCCTGGAACTGGGGTGCATGACAGGGACCTCCGCATCTGTCCTCTGGTGCCTGTGATGCAGGTGCCTGCTCCCTGGTATTGGAGAGGGGTCTGCAGGGATCCTCTAGCCTGCACTGTGGTGCAGCCTCTCCAGGAGCTGAGTTGCTTCTGGTCCTACTGCTTGGGGAGATCCAGACTTGACTTGCATCAACCACAGTTCAAGTCAGGAGCTGTTACCAAGCTCACAGCCTCCGCTGGACACCAGTGATCTGTCAGTCACCTTGGGGATTCTGCAGGCCACCAGATCACAGTGCAGACTGATGGGTCCCTCATCAAGTTAGGATTCTGGTGCTTCTTTCTCCTCTGATGTTTTCACTTCTGTCTCTAATTTCATTACACCCTGGTCTCTTGTCAGACTTTTGTGTTCTTCCACATTTTAAAAAATAACAGTGTCATATAATTTTTATAGGCCATGAATGTTCAAGCTCTATGATTCCATTTCTGTTTCAGATGTCCTACTTCTTTTTCATAAGTACATGTCTTCAGTGCATGGTGAGTGACTACATGCATCATGGGAGTTGGTCCAAGTAAGTAACACACCTCAATTCTTTTTTCATCCCTTTTCCCCCTGCTCTGTCCTCCCTTTCTTGGTCCCCTTCCAGTACACATGGAGACTTCATTCTGCAGTCCAGCCTGTGTCTTAGCCTCAGACACTCCATGTCCTGACTTTTGATTGTGTGGTGGCCCTTCCAACCTCCCCTGCTCAGGGTCATCTTCATCCCATCCAAAAGAATCATAGTCTCCAGCCATGACCCAGAGCACTGAGACTGCAGAGGGTATGCAGTGCTGAGCATCATATGGAGGACTTGTGCCCCTGACTGGTGTGTGCACATTCCCATTAGCTCTTGTGTCCCTGGGCACAATTATCTTCAGATCACAGTTCCCACCTCAGTGTGTAGAGGAGCCTGCTGCCACATGGGAGCAGTTCAACTGAGTGAAATCCCCAGCCCAATGACACATTTTTAATGATTGCAGTCCTGGAAAATACTTGCAGATCAGAAAAAGCTTTCACAGATCAGAGTGGTGAATGCTATGCAAAGTTTCACAAGAAGAGAAAGCAAGTCCCAGAATTATACGTTGATTAAATTTGGTGATCTCCTTGGGGAAGTCTAGAAGAGAATACTAAACATATGGTTTGCAAGCATTTGAAAAAATTGTGGCCAGCAGCACAGCATTCGGGTTAATTTGATGCACACATGAAAAGCAGCCCTGTGTGGAGAGTTGGGTGGGTGCTGTTGGGGGCCTCATGGATGCGGGAATGTCTGGTCTAGGGCTATAGCAGTGTTTATACCCAGAATTAGTGTCTCTGAGCCCAGGCTCTGCAGACATGGGACCCACACATCTTAGGGCCAGGGATGAAAACACCTCTGTCCTCAAATTTCTGCAGGAGGGACACAGAGGCTGGGCCTGAAGGTGTCCAGAAGGCAGCTCAGGGCAGGAGGAGCTCCCACCTGTGCCTCCCTGTTACATCTGACTCTGCTGTTACCTTAATGCCTGTGAGCCAGAGCCTGATCAGCTCTCCACATTTATTACTTAGGGAGAATCTATCAAAAAGCTGGTGACACAAAGTTTTCCCAACCTCAATTTTCCTACTTTGTCTCATCTTCCCTCAAGACATGAAGATAACAGAAATACAGTGCACCACAACTCTATCAGACACTGTAAAATTGGTTCAAACATTAATTTTGATCAAACTACTCATTTCCATCATCACATAAGAAGATATGGAGTGACTAGGTTTTATGCTCTTTTGTCTTGTTTTCTATGCCTTTATGTGACATTTAGGGTAACACTTGACACTTGCTATACATTCCATATTTTCCTTGGAGGATTATTGTTCTCTGTATCTCCTCTCCTGTGTATGTGTGTGAGTGTGTGAGTGTGTGTGTGTGTGTGTGTGTGTGTGTGTGTGTGTGTGGCTACAGCCTTTTCTGGTAGCATTTAACCAGTAGTATTTAGAAATATATATATATTATCAGAACCCATAATTTCTTGCTCTTGAAAACTACATTGCTAAGGGGGGAATTGAAGTCGCTATTTTGTTTAAGAAATCTGTCTCCCCATGCTTTTATTTTGGGTCCTATGTTTTTATCTCCCAATATCTATAAGAACCCAGCTTCATTAGGGAAGTGAGGAAATCTGTTTCACCACCTATGAGATCTGCTAGAAGAGAAAGAAATTTCAGCACACACTCAAGCCAAAACTCTCTCTCACACATAGTTTTAGTTGTTTTGGTGCTGTGTGTTGAAGCCTGAGCCTCCCCCACACTAACTGCACATCAGTCATGGAACTGCATCCTGACTCCCACCAGCTCATTTTACCTGAGATCCAGGAGAAGCAGGTGTGGAGAGGTGAGGATCCTACATTGAGAGTGTGGAGATCTAGGTCAGAAAATGCAGACTGTTCTCAGAGGACCAGGGATTTAATGTAGAGTTACAACTCATAACAATCCATGGGGAGTTAATAAGAATCCAAAGGGGGAAAGACTGAGAGGGAGAAGGAGAGGGAGAAGAAGAAGGATGCTGCTATCTTTGGGACCATCTTGAGGTTTATTCCCTTAGATTCTCTGACA